TGGGAAACATTCAACAGACATTTTTGGTTGCCTATAATATGTTGTCTCCCTTTTTGCAGACCTTTCAAAAAGAAAGCCAATCTGTTCAGAAGTGGATAGAGGAGAAGGAGGAAATAAAGGTTAGATTTTGTTGCATAGACAGACAAGGTGACACCTCCCCCCCTCCAGTCATACACAATACACTAGTTCAGGTGGCATATGGATGATACCTGGATGTGAAAGTTAGATCACCCATCTGTACTTAATCATTTCCACTTCAATTGAATGTCCACTGAGATGCCCAGCTTCATGCTATGCTGAGTGCAATTGAATTTAAGCCATCATGTGGAAAAAGTGGACAATATTTTGTTATAATACTAGAACATGAGATATGATGCAAAAGTATTATACACTTTTTAGGTCAAATAAAATGTAGGTTCCAACAGGACACACAGCTAATAATAAGCCACCACATGATATGGAGATAGCTAACAATTTATATAAGGGAAACTCCTAAGGGAAAAGGCAAAGAATGGCTATCAAACATGGAAGTCATGCATGGCGTTCTAGTATTCAATTCATCTAGGTTGCTGTTTGGTTCTTAAGACCTGAGGACGAAATGCAATCACCATAACCATTTACGCCGATGTTTCAAAGGAATTCAAATAGGTAAGCTCTGTAATTATTACAAAAGAACCAAGAGATAAGTCAGTCGTTTTTTTTAATGTCTAAGACCACCTTTGGAGGTCAGAGGCAAAGTGCATCAAAGCATAGCAATTATTTTCCATCTCATGCTTAAAACAGAAGAATTAAAATATTGGAAAGATTAAAGCAAACAGGTATTTTCTATGTTCTTCTCTTTTGCTTCCTCCAGGACCCTTTTTAACTATTAATATTAGGCCTGCAAACAAAATGAAACTTCCAGCAGCTTCTTAAAGAGTAGCAGCTGCCATTCCTGATTTAATGTAAAATTCGAAGTACAGTACAGTTGAATGCTGTAACTTGTTCTGCAAGAACTAAACTTGTTCCGTTTAGCAACTGACATGTTCAGCTACTTATGAATACTGTACCATGCTATTTCATGTTATGTGACAGTGATTCATTATTTAAACTGTTATACTGTATTTGTTTTTCCTCAAGAAGAAAAGTATCAGTTAGTGGATGGCATGAATAAACACTGTTTAATCTTAGGATGGGTTTATGAAATGCATGAAGGGACTAGGAAATCAGGATCTCAAGCCTTTGCTGATTTTGTTTGTTTGGCCAAGAAACTTCACAACACAGTTAATAAATGATTAATCCAACCAGATAGATATGGATTATTTGTTTGCTGATACAAGAACAAGGAAAGCATCCAATCTGGATTCAGAATTTTTCATACCAGTTGTTACCAAAGCCCACACAAAGAGTGTTGTAACTGATGTTTTCTAGACTACAGAAGGCGTCTAAAACAAAGCGGCAATATTTTACTTCAAATTCACGATATAGTGGTGAAGGCTTCTGGGAGTTGTAGTTCAAGAACATCTGGAGGCCCAAGGTTGGGGACACTGTTCTAGACTACAGAAGACGTCTAAAACAAAGTGGCAATATTTTACTTCAAATTCATAGGCCAGAATCCTATAGGTTAGTTACTCCAGCAAAAATGCAGTGGCTTGATTCCTAGTGGCAAACTGCTGTCAGTTAACCAAGTTCCCACTTATCGTATATTCCTCATGATGAACCAACACATCCAACAGGCACATGATGAGTGAGAGAAGTGGCAACTTGTCAACTAGCAGCAATTCACCTTGCAATTTATGTCATTGCATTTACACTCATTTAATCAAGAGGATTCAGGCTCTAGGGTAGAACAGCCTCCAAAAAAATCCCAAATTCCAAACCCAAAGTTTTCCTTCCCATCTTTCTCTTGCTTTCAAAATGCTAAGGTATAATGTTCTCACTGCTTGTCACTAGGTGTCACTTTAGTACTATATGGACATCGGACAGCACTATAGCTGCAGTACTGGGAAGAAAACCCTAAATCAAACTAAACCATTAATTCTCAGAAACATCCTGGAAAACTGCCAGTCTTTCATTAATTCTCTGTGGTAAAGAGTAAGAAACCACTCCAGTTCCACTGCTCTTATTTTGCACAAACAAACTTACAGAGAGGAAACCAAGAGAGATCTGTGTCAACAGCACTTGTTTTGTGATGCCTCATTCCCAAGCAGCCTGGAAAAACCGTATCTTTGGGCTGCAGTTCCCAGAGCTTACTAGTCAATCATGTTTGTATAAAATGACAACCTTATCATTTAGTTTACACAGCAATAAGCTGGACCAGTTAGATTTTTTTTTCATTTCAAGTCCCAATGGTTTATTGAATAAATGGGAATTTAGTGAGTCAAGCCCTCCATAAGTTCCATTGACCTAACTACAGTTTATTGTGCACATTCTACAAGAGAAATTTCTTTTTTATAAAACCTTGTAATGTTGGCCATAGATTAACAGTTGGTTTGCTTCATGGAGTGTTCTGGTGTCCGTTGCTTTATCATATGAAATGCACAATATCAAAATGCAGTTTGGTTGCATTCTGAATTAATACAAGCATATACCCAATAGCTTGGCTACTCCAAGAATACAGGCCATCAAACAAAGTCATTTGTTTTTATTGCCCTTAGCTGCTCTTTAGATTTTGTCTTTGTTTTTTAAAACAACAAAAACAAAAGAATCAATTGGTTTGAATTTTATGGTACATTTGGAAAGCTGTTGAGATTTTAGATCCCTAATGCAAAACTCCTAGCAGTCTTACTCTCAACTGTCCAACAACAATTTGTGAAATAGCCTTCTGTGTCCCCAAGTCACACTTTCCCAGTAAGGCATAAAGAACGATAAATTAATCCAAAGCAAACAAGTCTAGAAAGAATTCCTTCAGGATCTATAAACAGAATGCACAGCAAGAAAGCTCAGCACAGAGAGGGCCAAGTGTAAACACTCAAAAGCTTTCCATGCTGGGAGGCTGTCAAGGACAGAGGTGGCCTTTACCAAAGCTGCAAAGGTCACACCTTGTTTGTTAGATTTATGTGGCAGATTCTGTCATGTCAGTTAAGATTTGGATTTACCCCAAACCAAGTACCAGAATGACCTCTCGATAAGGCATTCATTGATGGCCCTATTTAAACCTGTAAAATGTGTAGAAAATCCACATGTGCAGGAAACCCTTCAACTATAGCCAGGTTTGTCTTTAGACTCCTTCCCTGATCTCTGCCCTCTTATTGCCTGGATTATTTATTTATTTATTTATTTATTTATTTATTTATTTACGCACTTTTATCATTGTTTTTAAAACTGTTTCTGGGAAGGCGCACATCAACTCTGACTTCAATCATGACAAACACTGACCTGGCACTTTTGAACAAGGACTTGCTAACCAAACCCAGTTTCAAATGATGGTTAAATATGAACCATAGTTAGAGCAGAGGTCCTGTTACCTTTATTCTTCCCCACGGATAGCTTCTGCCAAGGAACATTTATAGTTATTGTTGCCCATCCTCAGAATTTTTGCCGGCTGTAATCATAACTTCACTTTATTCAAAGTCAAACAGTTGCAATATAGTGATACGCCACCCCTTTACCAAGCACCCTCAGGAGAAACCATTTTAAATATGTTGTATGATTGCTGCATTCATTGCTTGAAAAGTGAAATGTGCAGTGCTAGAAAATCAACTGTGAATGCTCAGGTTTCCACAGAAAGCCTCACAGAGTCTCTACAGTCATACAATTATCAGATTAAGGATCAAAGAGTTCAGAATAAAGGAAATAACTAAAAATCCAGCCATGCCTAATTGCCTACTTTATTTATATCTAAATCTGTGCAGTCCATTTATATGAATAAAACAGAGTACACAGAAAGCAATAACAGATTTACCAAAACATCCCCGTGTGCAACTCAGCCAAATGAAAAAGATGCCTTACAAAGATCAAGGTGGTGCAGCTTCGCAGTCAAATGTTTCTTTCTGGTACTAAACCACATACATTGTTCTTAGCACATGAACGAATGAACATTTTGCACTTTTGTAACACCGGTAAAACATCTCTTTTAGTCACAACTACAGGAGGCTCAACATTCCAAATGACACATTTAACCAACTGCACCTACTTTCATGCACTTACTGAAGTCAGTAAAAACTAACAAGGATTAAACCACAGTTATTTTGAGTTAACTTAACCAGCATCGCTGGGTGACAATTGTCACAAGTGTGTATATAGTAAGACCATGGCATTTGTAGTGAATTGGTTCCAAACCTCCCTCGCCCATGGATGCAAAAAATAAAATAAAATGTGGAAGTGTGTGGGAGGCGCTCCACACTGACCATAGCTGACCACCTCACCCCCTTTTCCCCCCTCCTCTTCTCCCCCTGCCCTTTCCTCCATCTGCTCTGGGTTTATATGATTAGTTGGTGTGATCTGTCTTAGAGTTATGGCTGCTTCTTTTAATGTTACTACCTTTATTTTTGTTTCCTATTATATTTGTAATAATCATCCAGAGTAGTGCCTGACACTAATAGGAATAGGATACTAATTAATTAATTAATTAATTATGCGCTGGCTCTGGTCTCTCTAGTGGCCAGTCCTTGTACATATACATATGTATTTCTGGGTTTTTCAGGGAGCAGATACGTGAATCAGTGGATGGTGATCCAAAAGGTGTGGGGGGGGGGCTTCCTACTTTAATTGTATTTAACTAAATCTGGAATATGCCATCTGCAGGATATCCTCAATGAAATATTTTTTCCAGAGTTTTGCCCCAAACCAAGCAAAGAAAAAAATGTAGGAAAAATCAAAATCATTCTGACTACCAATCAACGAAAAGCTGCCAGAAGATGTAAGATCCTCCTCTTCAGCAGACAAATCCACCACAGCAGAGCTGATGGTAATATTGTCCTAAAATCTATACAATGTGTAAGGTATATTACATTTTGGGAAAACGAACAATTCAGCTCATGCCAAGAAATCATTCTTCAAACAATCTTCTTTCCACTTACCTTTCTACAACATCCTCACCATTCCAGCAAGTTGAGCTATCTTTCATCACAAGATCCCCATCACAGAGTCGGTCTGCTAAAGAGGCATACAGCGTTCTGGACCGTTTCATATAGGTGATAAATTCCCTGGAAATCAGACATACGGGATTAGAACAAACCTGCAGCAGCATACTGATATTCTGACCTGCTTACTAATCTTATTGATGTGACGTGTATAGTTGCATCACTATATACTAATGTGTTTTAATACTGATTTTATTCACTATTTTAATATAATACTTGTTTAATTCTTTTTAAATCTTCATGCACTTACTGTTTTTAGCTTGTTAGTATTGTCTTTTCAATGATGTAAGCTGCCTTGGTTCCTTTTTAGGGAAAAAGGTAGGAGAAAAATATTTTAAATACATAAATCCCTACTTTTGAAGAACTAGACAGATCCATCCGTAACAATGCTAGTGTTCTGGGGGCAATATAATAATAAATTAGACTTTATATTCAGATCCATGTGCTGACATCCCAATATATGTTTCTTGTATAAAAAAATAACTTGTGGGAGAGGCAAGTTCCATCAGTGGTATGGTAGGGTGGGGAAGATACTTCTTTCTCCTACCCCTTCTCTTTTCCATCTTGTCTTACTTCTTCCCACTACTGAGTGCCAAATGCAAGTCTGTCCACATAAACATTTGTCAGGAAATCCTAGACAGAGCAGTTTAGAGATGGTTGGAGTAAAAGAGGGTGGGTGGAGAAAGTGTCATGCCTCTCCTCTCTTCCCCACACCTTCTCTGCATTTCAAAATAAACACAGAGAAGCAGTCCGCCTTTTGAATTTTATAACTATTGATTTTGACCTTTTTCTATACTTAGGCAGCATTATTTTGAATGGAAACCTAATCCATATTTCTCTGTCATGTGCACAAATACAAAGAAGCCTGCGCAAAGTGCCAGGTTTACATGCTCGCCACTCCTTGCTCCTTCCCTGGAAGGAGGAACAAGCCTGGATCCTACTTATGTGAGAATCAGGAACTAGGACTTAAAATAAACTTTATTTTGCTAAACAAGACAGAAGATCAATCTGTTGTGAGTTTTTATAACCTTGCATGCTGTCTGCAGTTTTAGAGACTGGAAGGGACCTTTCTGGGCTCAGGCGACTGTCAACCTATCCAGTATTGGCCAATTGTACCTTCCCACTTCTGAATTTAAAGAGACCTCCACCTCTTTCCTGGGCGCTTCTCTTTCTTTGTCTTTAGTCTGTTGAAAGTCAGTTTGCTTGTTTGCTATTGATCTGTTAATAACTGTAAGCAATGAAATATGTTTGAGGCTTGAAATGTCAGAAAGGGATGGATTATCTGGGGAACCTAAAGTTAATAGCTATACTTCTACTGCAAAGCAAACGGGATTTTGCCAGAAATTTGAAACTCTGCAAGACAACCTACTGTTTCTTGTTGGCTTGTTTAGTATATGACTACAGCTTCTTTTAAACCATGATTCTTGGATTACATGTAACAAGCCAGGAATCTGATGAAATAAAACTGAGTTTGGGTGTGCTTCACTGCCTCTGCTGTGCAGGAAGAGGGTATGTATATATTTCTGCTTATGTACCTGGCAATGAGTCATAGTTTATGATTATGTAAGGAAGCCTCCTTGATTTGTTCATGTCAAAGGAATCTAGGCCTAACTATCTCTGAAGGCTTCTCCTTCTATAAACGTAAAAATCATAATTTTAATTCTACCACAGGAATCCAGTCCAGAGATAGATCAAGTTTGTTTTCTCATCTGGATGAAGATGGGCCTATCAGTCTGCATTTAATTCTTAATTCAAAATTCTGCTGGACAATTCAAAATATATCAACAAAATTAGCAGTGCATCATTTACTATAGCACTTCAAGAAAAAAAAATCATGATTGAAGTTAGATCATGATTTTTATGTGCCAGAGAATAAAGCAAAAAGCCATCTGGCAGTAATGTCTAGGCTTGCCATTCTTGATATGACAGGAAACTATTTCTGCCAAGAACTATCTAGTGACATTCCAAAAGTAGTGACTGGATTGCATCTGTATTACATGACCTGTAAGATGTTGCCTATCAGCAACCATCCATCTAGACACCCTGGAAATTCACTGCTTTCATTTAGATTCTAAAATAAAGCAGAGAAACACATAATGTTTTCAGAAGCCTGACCACTAGATATTTCTAAGGTGCATTACAACTGAAGCACTGTTATTTGCCATGGGAATATTCAATAAATAGTGGGTGGTAACTGTCAGTGTGGCATAATGGACAGAGTGACAAGACTAGGACTTGGAAAAGCTGAATTTGAACCCCCATTTAGCAATGGAAACTTATTGGAGGTAAGACCACTCCTTACATATTTCACATGCATTGGAAATCTTAACAGGGTTACAATAAATTAGATTTAAATTGATGGCACATAAACAACAATAAAAGTCAGAAATATACAGAAGATGATTTATTTCCTCTCTGTGCAAGCAAGAAAATGTTTACCACTTTCCTCAGAAACTCTTTTGTGAAGATGGAGACATGTACAGTCATTGCTGTGTGTGGAAGAGCAGCTGGGTCATGCCCTTAAGTGTTACAGCTTTTGCTAGGCTAACCTTAACAGTAGGCACAACGGCACAGTCATCTCAAAACTAGATGATTTTATGTATCAAGATAGAGTAGCAAGTTGTTTATGTAAGTTCTCACATTTTTTACCAGCAATATATATACTAGATAGAAATTTTCTTCCCAAGTTTCTGAAACAATATAAGCAGCCTTGATATTATGACTTTGACTTCTGGGAGACAACACCACAACTTCTGTTCTACATCCAGCAACAAAATTATTTGGGCCAACTTTGCCAGCTGCAGACAAATGGCCCAATCTGATTTAGACAGGAGCATTTAGCAGCAAAACTGCATTAAAAGCTGGCAGAAAATCTAATTCATTTTGAATTTAATTTTGCTTTAAATACAAAAATAAATGGGAGCATATCTTCTGGCCATTAGGGAGATACTTCATCAGAAAAATTAGATTGCAATAAGCAGGTCTATTTCTTCCCCCTTGCTAAGAATGCACAGTCTTTTACATAAGGAACAATGAATAATCTTGTCATCCAGAAGTTTTTAGACTGCAGACTGCAACTCCTAGAAATACAGTGCCTCCTGATTCGCAATACTGGATAAGGTTGATTGGAGTTGCAGCCCCCCACCATCTGTTCCTCACCTCTGTTTCAGATTAGGGCATCTGGGCTAAGAAGTTAATCTTAAGAGTATCTCCTGCTAATGTTGAAGAAAAATGTCTAATCTTACAGGATAGAACAATGTTTGGGGAGCTCATTTCAAATCAAGAGACAAAAGCATGTTGGGTTCTTTTCATTCTTACCGGGACATTTTTTTCAAACTTCTGGATTTGTCATTCTTTGAAGCTTTCAGAGGCAGAGAACTGGATTGGGCCAGGAAGAACAGTCAGAAGAGGGGTAGGAAGGGGGGAATTCAGGCAAATGAAGAAAGAAATGAGAAACAAAAAAGTAATAAATTATTTGAAAGAAAAGATCATCAAGCACATGCAAAGGATTAAATTAGAAAAGAACAAATGCAATTAAAATATGCTTTGACCTTAATATATATATATAAAAGGAAAAAAGGGAAAAAAAAGAAGGGAGGGGAAAAAGACCACCACAGTCTATGCACAGCTTAATCCTGGCAAGACTATGGCTTTACTGCTTGGTGATTTGAGCTTTTTCCTAATAACATATAAAAATAAATTTATCTTTCTTTTAAAAAACTTAATAAATACGGTTTCAAAGTGAAGGTTTAAAATGCAAAAAATAATGAATGTACCTGTCATATCCAAATGTCACATGAAAAAGAATTATTGTATACATGTGAGAACAAAGCAGGACAGATGATTTGTGGATGAGAAGCGTACACCGAAGTACTTTAGATGAAAAAGCATTTATTTTTGAGGGGTTTTTTTCCATAAAATGCTAGATTGCTTTTCCTCGGGGATGGGGGAATCCAAATGTGTATTGCCCCTTCAGGGATATTTGGAAAATTGGAGATTGAAGATCTGACTGACTGACTGACTGACTGACTAAACAAACAAATAGTTTGCCTGCTTGTTGTAGCCAAGATGTAGCCAAGACTGTGGCTTTCTCAGTATAGAAGGAGTGACCGATATGTGGATTATGGCCTCAGGGCATTTCTGTCCTCCTAAGCATCCCCAGGTTCCTCCACTGCCCCTGAAATTTAAAAATCAACTCAAAATGCCACTGTTACTTCTCAGTGGCATGCAGGGTAATTTTGCCACATTTTGAACACTTCCCAGAACCCCTGCCTCTTCATTTGTATTATTATTTGTTTAACACTACAGAATACATGGATACGTTTTGAGAATAAAAGTCCATTTTAAAGAGAAAATATTTGGGGAGCTTACAGGAATGGGTGCAAGCATGGCCCTCCAAGGCCCATGGATGAGGGTGAGATACCCACAGATTGCCTGCCCCTACAGAGTATCTTAGTAGCAATGTTCATACTTTATGTATAAAATGTCCCAGGTACCACCACACGTATGCCAGGCTGGGAAAGACTGTTGTATGGCATGACAGCGAATAGCTGCCAGTCAACTGAGCTTGATGGACCAATGGTCTGACATGTTATAAGGCAGCTTCTTATGCTCCCAACAAAGCTCCACACATAACAGAATTTTAAGTGAATTAGAAGACCCATCCACCAAAACCTAAGGTCAGATGTATATTTTAAAGAAAATGGCTCCCCGGAGTCTCTGTAGGAAAATCTGTGAAATGTGGATGCTTGTAGTACTCAAGAACATCTTTTCATGCCATTCAAGTTAAAAAGAGCCACAAGCAATAAAAACACAGTAAAACACTAATATTGCTTTACCTCAGCTAGTTCCTTCTCCAATTAAATTGCAAATGCAGTGCTTTTAAACAGAATATATTTCCAGTCCATGTTTAGTGGCAGGATATACTAAAATGCAGCTCAGATATCACAGCCAAGAGTCTTGTGTTTCCAAATGTTCTAAGCAAGGCATCTACAATACTTCTCTGTGCAATCAGAAAATCTATGAAAAAATTTTGTGATGTGGGTTTTATGCACATAACCTGACTGCCCTAACCGTTCCTGTGATTTTAAAATGTTGTAACGTTTCTTATGTTGAAGCACACAGGTAATTAACAACAAGAAGAACAACAAGAACTATTCAATGTTCATAATTTCTGAAATTGCCTTTGGCCAGGCGAATATCTGCTGTGTAGTGTAGTATTTCATGTCCATGCATAAGATTAACCAACATATCATGCAAGTTTTGTGCAAGTTTCAGCCATGCTAGCATTGTTCCCAGAGAAACAGATTTCACAAAGTTAAAAAAAAAAAGATACGGGAAGAAGAAAACAAATATAGATTTTGACACAATAGAAAATTGCTTTCTCAGCAGAAAGACCAGCCACAAGGAAAGAGGAAACAGTAAAAATAATAAAAATTAAAAAAGGGGGAAATTCTTATCGGTTTGTAACTGATTGTACCACATTCTTGGAAAATTACAGTAAGGATGTCCTGGTATTTTATTCTACACGAGTGTATTATTTGGACTGCCTAAGATGTCAAGGGACTTCAGGTCCAGCTTAAACTACTGCCAGTTCAGCTAGTTTACGTTCTAGGCCTGAGCTGGGCAATGTGTGGGTTTAAGGCCACTTATGTCCCCCAAAGTTGCTTCTGTGGCCCTTGATCCCCTCAGACTTTCAGAAGAAAACATGAATTACACTATTGGAAACCATGGCCACTCTCCTGACAAATAAGTGGCCAATCTCTGGACAATGGATAATTCTTAGTATAGTAAGTCACAACTAAAGTAGGCCCATTGAATCAATTGAACTTATGAATGATTAATCAAATCCTCACTGATTCAGTGGGCAAGATCCTGTTGTGTAAATTTGTCCAAATCAGGCACCAGAAATATTTAACTAAAATCTGTTTATCCTGTTTTAGATTTCGAGGCTCCCTGTTGCCCTGGGGAAGCCTTGAGGAGCTGCAGGTTAGGAGGGCTAGACTTTAAAAATCAAACATCACTGCCAAATCAGCGGTGGCAGTTCCAAACCCAGTGGTAGGAATCTGGAGGTGATTTTAGATTTTTAAAACCCCTATATCTTATGCTCCCAAAGGCTTCCCCAGGGTAAAAGGGAGACCTTGGGAGTCTTAGAACCTAAATTGGGGGTATAGGAATCTTTGCATTCATGTAAGTTAAACATTTCTAATGCCTGATCTGGATCACGCTGAAAACAAAGTTAAATAACAGGATTTTGCCCAATAGGCCAGCTTTGGTAGTAACATACTATGCAAACCAACACATTTCAGCCAAATCCAACTAAAATACTGTATACATTTTTCAAAATGGAAGTGGACCTCTAGTATCACATTCTCTATTTTATTTTATATTTTTATGGGGAGCTAATGCTGCTAATTTACACATTCATGTAAGGACATCATTTAGCACATGTGCTATGCTAAGCTCTTCCTGTGCAATTACAGCTTCACAAATTAACAGTTCTTTAAACCATAATGGTGTTTGTTAATATGACTGCGCATTCAGGGGCATGTGAATCATGTGAAATAATCGGTTCTCAAGTCTATATGAGGCTTAAGTGAGCTACGGACTAACATTTACCTTTCTGCCTGATAATAGCTAAATGCAAGGCAAGAATGAATTCCTGCAACAGAAAGCACAAAGTGCTTAATGACTGACAGGTTTCAATTTACAATTCTGTACAGGAGCCCCCTGAAATATTATTATCTCAATCAATACATAATGAACGTAAGTATTAAAAAGCACTAGTTAATACCACAACCAACGATCATCATTATTGTCGCCATTGTCTGATGTCACTCTGGGAAGTTCCATTCCAAACATTTCTGCGAAAATATGGTGGTATTTAGGTTACCTCCTTTTATTGTTTACAGTAGCTGAGTGTGCCATTGTGATAGATGGTTTCTCAACTATTTCTTTCACTTGAACAATGTTGTCCGGTAAAGGTTTCACTTCTTTTTCTTCAGGCTGTCCGCATACTTTATCTACCTGTAACAAGGGAGGACAAGAGGGAAACAAAGCTACAAATTAAGAATTTCATTAGCATGAAGGTTAAAGCATCTAAGTTTTAAAGTCTACATGGGTGGAGCCTGTGAATGGCTTATTTCCAAATTGTGTGCTGTTGCATAAATAAAGCAAAGGGACATCAGCAGGAAAGCACTTTGATCTCACAACTTCTCCCCAAAGGAACCCTCTTACTCACAAAGGGAGCTGCTGCTTATATCTTTCTCTTAAAGAGACAGGTCCGGCCTGCTACAGGTTATTACACATTTGCTACCCTCCACGAATAGTTGGTGTCTCACCAAAAGCTTTTCCCTAGGACACATATACCAGGTTCTAACCTGTTCCACCTAAAGCTGGTCTTATCTAAGGAAGGGAGCTTACATGACAACAATTTTCTGCAGTATGTGGCAGAATTCCAATGTCAATGAATAACAGGCCTTCCCTCCAGTCAGCTAAGTCTTTTTATCTCTTCTTTCCTTATCCTACCCCATCTTGGTAATCCTTTCTTAAATTAATTGTCTTAATTAATATAGCAATTGTATTTTTATGATTATATATATTTTATATTGATTTATTTTATGTTGTAAGCCACTCTGAGTAGACATAGTCTAGAGGGGTGGGGTATAAATAAATAAATAAATAAATAAACAGCAGCAACGAAAAGCTTGTGAGAAACAGGATTAAAAACAGGATAAAAAACAAAAAAACAGAGTATCCACCATAAGTTTCTGGGAGGGAGATAAAATGGAAACTTCTCATTAGCTACAAGTATATGGAGGCCAGAGCCACAATACAACACACAGCAACCTAATTTGCACTTCCCAACTAATGTATAAAGTAAAAAACATTTATCTGACATTCTTTGAATTCTGTGGTGCAGTTCTTCAATAAAAATGTGGATGAAAACATTTACATTAGGGGAAAAACCACACAAGAAAAAGTGGACGTCCCCGAAAGTGCACATTAAAATATATCAATTAGTCGTTAAGGTGTCATAAGGTTTTTGTTTTTTGTCTTTTTTTTCCCATTTGGGTTTTGCCTGATAGACAAGAATATGTGTACAATACAGGAAACAGCATGTAAAATCATAGCAAAAAGTTCTTGCAAAATCAGTGTGTTAAGGGAATTTGCTTCCAAAAGATCCACAAACATCCAGAACGAATATTCAGCTATTTCTGTGATGCTAGTGTAGGGGTGCTACTGCCTTTTTCCTGATAGATTTATCTTTGACATCTACATGAAAGGAGGTAAAATATAATCCTGTCAATACCCAGAACAGCTGTACCTACTGAATCTAGACAATGAAGAATCTGGCTGAGCATTTCATTCAGCATATTTCTTATGACAAGACTTCCCCAAATCTGCAAAAATATCTGTAAGATCAACAGACAGGATGGAATTTTTAATTATAGGAGAAAACTAATTGACTACTGGTAACCACAGTTTAGAAAAGTTACTTTTTTGGACTACATTACTAGAATCCCCCAAACAGCTGACACTTGCAAGTAGACCCTTGGTTATTCATATGTACCTTATAAATTAGTTCAGATATTGCCTAATGCAACTCTTAAAGGCATGATTAGACTGTTGCTTGCAGATCAGGCAGAATCATAAGTGCAGTTGACTTATTTGGAAGAAAGTACTCAAAATCCAACCAAATGATCTGTGCAGAAATGTGTAGAAAAACATTGTATTTCCTCCGATTTGCTTTGTGATGTGCAATTTGTGTAAAAGTGATGAAATTGTCCAAAAAGATGGGGGAAAGGTGAAAAAACTGGCTTTGTCTACAATCAATGTGATTGCTTCTTATATCTTGTTCCTTAGGATGCTTGTGGCTGGTGAATAATTCTTTCTCTCCTGCCAAGATAATAGGCTTCTTTGACAATATGCTGTTTTGCCTAACTACATTGGCTGGCAGTGATCCATATGAAATGATCTGTGACCCACTAAATCGATTGCTAGTTATGAATTTTGCCAGTCATAAGCAAATGGTATTAAAAACAGTACAAGTTGAATAGTAGAGTAGTCTAATGGGGCACTGTTGGTCCTATCTTCCCAGGGCTCCCACCTCAGTTGAGCTTCTGTTTACCTCAATATGGCTCTATATCTTGACTCTACAGTGGTGCCTTGCTTAACAATTGCCTCATTAAACAATGAAACTGCTATACGATGACTGTTTTGCGATTGCTTTTACGATCGCAAAACGATGTTTTAATAGGCAAAATCCGCTTTGTGACAATCGGTTCCTTGCTTCGGGAACTGATTCTTCGAATTACGACGTTTTTAAAACAGCTGAGCGGTGGCTTCAAAAAGGCCGCCCGCTGTGTAAAATGGATCCCCGCTGTGTTTTTGGACGGATTCCTCACTTTACAGCCACCGAAAATGGCCGCCCCATGGAGGATCTTCGCTGGACGGTGAGTTTTTCAGGTTTTCAATGCGTTTCAATGGGATTTTTTATTTCGCTTAATGAGGATTTCGCTCTACAGCAATTTCGCTGGAACGGATTATCCTCATTAAGCAAGGCACCACTGTACTTTCATTCCATCTTGCCTCCTGGCATTCTGGTTTCTCTATGCTGTCTCCACCCACTTAAGTGGTCCTGCCATTCAATCACTGACTTACGCACTTGCTGCTTATCTTCCATTTCAGCCCACAGGTGAAGACAGGGTATTTCACAAAATCATTATATCCAAGTACTATCACCTAACATAGATTCAGGTAGGCAGGGCTGCCAATGGTATTTTAGCTGAGGTATACAAAAGCATCTAGTGATGTAGCAAGATTACTGGAGAATATTTAAAAGGATAATGGTAATTTGAACAGGGACGCACTTATGATCAAGTAGCAATCATTCTTGACTGTAAGCTCCTACCTTGTTAGTGGTGACATTTGTTTGAATATTGACAATATGCAAAAATTATGCCTAAGGGAATAATTGCCATAGACTAGTAAATGAGGGGAAATTTATTCTGAAACAAACCAAGAAAAGCCTTTCAAAAACTCTAAAAAATATTAGGTACATTAGAAGAAAATTAAAATCCACCCACACACAATATGTTGGTATTATGTTTAATTCTCGTTACTGGTTTACCTCTTTATCAATGGATGAATTCAAAATATCACCTGAGAATATAGCTATGAAATCAGCCCAGCTTTTCATAATCTATGCAGTACTGTAAGTTGTAAAGGGAAACAGATTTTTTCTTCTAAACTTCTTTAGTACAGTACATTCTAATAGACAACATTAGAGACTGAAATACAGTCTCTAATGCCTTTTCCTTTTCTGAACCCAGGGGGCATGTCTGACATTTCTTGCTCTTCACTTGATATATGGTAGAAGTCTTTGTTGTAAAATCCTGAGCATTTTGTTTGCCTGGAAAATGAATGCAATGGCCCCAGAGTTACTATAGTCTCTAGACCCTGCTTTCGTTGGGGCTTAAATATATATTGAATCTTTTTGTTTCCCATATTTCTTACCAAATCTTCCATAAGAAACATCAAGGAAATTTAAACTACAGCAGGATCCTGGGCAATATATTAAATGATCACAATAAGATGAAAAAGAGGAAACAATATATTGAAGAACTACACAGAAGTGATGAAAGTATAACAGATTCCTTCTAAAAATCTTTACATTTAGAAAGTGAAGTGAAAGTTATTAAAGCAATTAGAAGAATAATTTTGTTGCACGCCAAATTGGCAATATTTTGGTAACTGTTGGAAAATAAAAAGTTTTACTTTGGCCACTGCTGACCATTTCAATGGAAGGTGGTATGGAGCCTTCTCACAAAGAGAGTTCTTACTTTCCTTTCTTCTGTTCTCTTCTATCTCTTTGCAATGGTTATTCTAATAATTCTCTTTGTAGGTGCAAGTTGCTGAAAACCTGCATTTAGGATTCTGGCCCTATTTCTGCCACTTTTTACTTTTGGTTCTTCATCCTTTCTAACTTCTTTAGTACTTTAAATTATATTTTGGCACTCTGATTCTTTTAGTGGATTTTTTATAGCCTTATTTTATTTTTATGTATATTAACTGTTCAAGATATGTTCCTGGTCTTGTTTTGGCAGAGAGGATGCAGTTTATCTTCTCACTTCCAGTTATGTAGTCAATCTTATTTCTGTATTGGCCATATGATGTCCATGTGTACTGTTGTCTGTTCAGTAGCTTGAAACATGTAGTTGCAATAAGTAGATTGTTGGCAAAATTCACTGTTCTGCTTCATTTTTTTCTTCTCTTTAACAATGCGTTGTTCTGCTTTACCTACTTTTGTGTTCCAGTCACTTATAATTATCAGCAAATCCTGTTTTGCAGTGTGATAAGTTTCCCCCCAGATATTTCCACAAAAGCTTTCAAATTTTTCTCGTTTAGCACTTGTATTTGGAGATGCTACATAAGAACATAAGAAGAGCCCTGCTGGATCAGGCCAAGGGCCCATCTAGACCAGCTTCCTGTATCTCACAGTGGCCCCACCAGATGCCTTGGGGAGCACACAAGACAACTAGATACCTGTCTCCTGGCAGATCTCAGTAGATGCCCCAATTTTAGAGCAACAGACATGCATAAATATCGTCTGCTCCCTATGCCCTACCTATCACAGCTGGAAACGTATAAGTTTAGGAAAGCCTTTGCTCTGGCTAGATGCGAGGCTTTCCCTTTTGCAGTGCTGGAAGGCAGATTTAAGAAAATCCCGAGGGAACAGAGATTCTGCCCTTGTGGCTCTGGCGAGATAGAATCTCTCAAGCACATGATGCTCAGGTGTAACAGGCATAATAAGATCCGAGGAAAATATATTACACCACTCTTAAAAGATATGGCAGGATTCGGACTACTGTAATCAATTGTTAACCGACCAAAATCGGACTACTACAGAACTGGTAGCAAAATTTTAGGCGGCATGCTGTAGCAGACAGACTAGACAGCTAAACCCTTAGACCTTGGCCTTACATTGCTATATTTGCTGTTTTAGATATTTTACCTTTGGTATG